GTCAGTTTGGATGGCTAAAGTCATCAGATAGGTATGTATTATAACTCATTCAGTAGTAATAGACTGAAATTATTCTTATAGATCACAGGAGGCACGAATTTACTTTAGAGCTGGCAAGAACTGGGATGGGTATTTCACCCATGATGATCTTTATCAGCAGCTCTTACAGGCTATCAAGTGCTTTGAGAGCTGTTTCCCTAGCAAAACAGCTCTCTTTGCATTTGACAATGCTACTTCTCATCAAAAAAGAGCAAGTAATGCATTATCTACACGTCAAATGCCTAAAAATCCAGGGTGGAAAGCTAGAGACACATCTGGTGCCCCTCCCATACGTTCTGGAGTCCTCCCTGATGGTTCATTACAATCATTTTATTTCCCTGATAACCACCCTCATCATTCTGGCCAATTTAAAGGGATGGCCCAAATCCTTCAAGAACGAGGAATTAATGTTGATGGAAAACACACACAATGCAAAGGTTTCAAGTGTGCTGACAAATCAGCACAATCAGTATGCTGCTGTCGACGAATTCTGTTTAACCAGCCAGATTTTCAAGCTCAAAAGTCTGCAATTGAAGAATTGGTAGAAGGCTATGGACACAAGGCAGTTTTTTATCCTAAATTCCATTGTGAATTGAACTTCATTGAACAGTGCTGGGGTTATGCTAAATTCAACTACCGGATGATGCCTGCCCCTACTACTGAAGCTCAAATGGAAAAGCATGTTCAAACATGCCTTGATTCTATTCCTCTTGATTTCTTTCAAAAGTAAGTACTTTAAATCTTTCTTTCTTACAAAATTGATTTTATTATATGTTTTGTAGGTATTGTAACCGGTCTGCTCGGTTCATGGATGCATATAGAAAGGGGTTGACAGGAGCACAGGCTCAATGGGCAAATAAGAAATACCATGGCCATAGAATCCTTCCAGCTAGTATTCTGGCTGAGCTGTAAAACCATAATCTATATTTTTTTTTGTATTTACAAGTGCTAAAAAAAATGTCGATGTCCACCGCTCGATTTTTGCCATCAGGGTCCTTCCTAATGGGGAAGTGGCTGTGCTGTGACTGATGTGACATACTATGTCGAGTTTATACTTTCCTTACCTTAGGAGGAGTTTATCGTTCACATCTGCATGAGGTGCCTGGTTTGATATTTCGGGAATGCGTCGATCTCTTCGTTCGGAATTTGCCGTTGTATTTGTATCCTCCGTCCTTCGTCTGCCTCGGTCTACTTTGCACATTGCTGAACCCCAGACACTCATTGTCTCTCTTACTGAGCTTGGTACCTTGCTTTGCTTAGAGGATACAGGGTAGTGCCTGGAGTCCTCGCCTCGTCCCGACGTGCCATATTTCTTCCCCTGCTTGAAGTTTGAGCAGCGCAACAAGCCAAGCAACTGAGCAATCCATATCCTTCTTTTGAACGGAAACACAGCGGACTACGACAAAAGTCAGAACAAACTGGTCTGGAGCTGGGCTCTAGTCCGTATAACGGCTGTGGATGCAGTATGGTGTCGGACACGGACCCGTATCATGAAGTTCAACGGGAGATGCAAGGGACGCTTGCAAATGCTGGGACGCTCCTCTCAAGCTTCCGGCGGATACAGAGTATAGGGCAGGCAAAGTCAAACGGGAGAGGGGAAGAGAGTGAAGAGTTGTCGTACGCACGGAGTGAGCTGAAAGCCACCCTGAGCACGTTGGAGGCGGACTTGGAGGATCTCGAGGAGAGTGTAAGGTAAGCCTCTTGCCTAATCGACACTCATCCATACAATGGCTTACTGTATGGTATGATCTCGGTGGAATGGATGTGTGTGTTATTAGAGTTGTAGAGAATAGTGGTCCGAAGTCCTTTGGGCTTGATGATAGCGAGGTACAGAGACGCCGCCGCTACGTCCGTGAAGTTCGACAAGAACTTGATGTGCGTATTGTGTCTAGCTTGCTGTTTGGGCTCAGTAAGCTAATTGTAATGCGAATGTGCATTTGTCAAGGACTAGAGCATGCGCGCGGAAGTTGCCTCGTCTGAGGTTGGTTCAAAGCATTTTGCATACCGTCTGGGTTGGCTAACTCAAGAGGAACAGAGACTAGGGTCGTCGGGCACACCACGATATGCACCATCCTCACCGACCTCACGACCCAAAGCGACGTTCTCCGATCCTCTTCAACAACCCAGAGATAATGAAGAGGACGACCAGGCGGCTTGGAGCCGAATGGAACAACAGGTGCATTTCTTCTCGTTCGCCTTGCTCTTACAGACATTATTTTGTTGCTCACGACTCGTTCCATACAACTTCAACAGATGATCATGCAAGAACAAGACAAAACAATCGATTCAATTACAGGAACGGTAGTAACTCTGACGGAACAAGCGGGCCTCATGGGGACCGAACTCAGAGAGCATAACGAGTGGGTGGTTTCCTACGTTCCTCTTACTGCTCAGTTGTTCTGATCCGTACATTCAGATTACTCGGTGATCTCGAGCATAACGTCGACCACACGGAAACGAAATTGAACAAGTCCTTAAGACGTTTACAGCGCTTCGTGCGCGAGACGGAAGGTTTGTGTTATTCGTTCATTTGATCAACTGTGATACTCAGGATACCATTTCTGTAGAGACAAAGAGTGGCTGGTGTATTGCCATCCTGATTGTCATTCTTTGTGTGCTGTTGTTGCTGGTCATTCTCCTTTAGGTATAGAGGGCCGATTCTCGAATTCGATGGGAATATATCTTTTGTATACCATGTAATTATTACAGATCATATAATATTACGGTGTTTCGTTCTGTGCAAAGTTACCGTGTTCTTTCACCTAGATAAGCAAGTTCCATATATGGAAATAAAACACCTGCTGAGGATCGATGCCCCATGTTGGCACTTGCAAGCAACTGTCATCAAACACAGGCTCTTTCTGCTCAATCGCCGGCTCAAAGGCGTACTTGCAGGGCGTATCTGAATTTTGGAGAAGATCTAACAGCTTCATGACACTATGACTGCCAAAAAGCGTCCTGACTGTTTTGCGAGTACAAAGTTGGAAGCACGATCGAATTTGATGAAACTGCCAAGCCCCTTATCGCTCAGAGTCAGACGGCCCGTCGTCTCTTGTGCACCTTTGCCATCTTCGTCCCTTTGCGGTCCCGGTTTACGAGCGGCCCTCTTAGAGCAATGTAGGCATGTCTGCCCTCTTTAATAATATCATACCTGTTGCTTGAGTTCGTTGGTGACCGCATGCTTCGTACTCCGAATGCCAGCGACTCCCCATGCCTTCCTCGCTCTCCTCTTCCATATATTCCTCGTAATATCTAACTCTCAAAATGTTCTGGCCTTCACAGAACACAACATCTATACCAGAGCGGACAACTCGACGGAGGTGCAATCAACTGCAAAGACAAAGTCGACTGCCTCGTTCCTCACCGCGCTCTGGATGAATGCTGCCATATTTGCCGCTACAGTCATCGCGTTCTCGCTCCTTCGGCTACGTTTTAGGGCAATTTATGAGCCGCGGACATACGTTCCAAAAAATGAGGAGTAAGTTGCACCCTTTCCACGACCTAAACCCATAATAAATGGGTAAGCATTTGAAGTGTAGACGTGACTAACTCGTTGTTACAGCAAGCGGTCGCCGGAGCTTGGAAAGAATCCTTTCAAGTGGCCTTACATGGTCTGGAAAGAAAATATCTCCACAATTAGGAAGAAGAACAGTATGGATTGTTACATGTTTGCTCGATTCCTACGAATGATGGTCCAACTCTTTATTCCCATCTGGGTCATATCTTGGGCTGTGCTACTTCCGGTCGACAGCGTAAATAGTGGTTCTAACCGTTCTGGACTCGAACGCTTCACGTTTGGGAACGTTGGTAAGACAAAGCAGGAGCGTTATTGGGCACACCTAAGCCTCGCCTGGGTGTTCACCAGTATGTTGATTTTCGCTATTCAATGGACAAGGAACTGCATACTGACAGGGTGAATCAACTAATGCGTTTGCAGTTTGGATTGGCATTATGATTCATGCCGAGATGAGGCATTACATTACCAAGCGTCAGGATTACCTTGTCGACCGGGTCCATTCCGCTTCCGCGCAGGCAAACACGATCCTTGTCACCGGTATCCGTGACGATTACCTCAATGAACCTGCTCTCACGCATATATTCTCACACCTTCCAGGCGGTGTCCGTAAGATCTGGTTTAACCGAGACCTCAAAGAACTACCTGATATATATGACCGTCGGATGGAAGCGTGCGATCTGTTAGAAAAAGCGGAGACAAAGCTGGTTAAAAAGGCAATTGAGATCGGATTGAAGAAAGGGTATGGCAGGAAGAGTGATAAGAAAAGTGGGAAGAAGCACAGGAGAAGGGACAGGAGAAGGGACGAAACTGTTTCATATTCTGATCGCGAGCCTGGCATCGAGGAAGCTGAAAAAATTGTACCAAAGAAAGACCGACCCACTCACCGACTCCCCTTACGCCCTCTACCTTTCTCCATCCCATGTATTGGCAGAAAAGTCGATACGATCAAGTGGGCTCGTGAAGAAATTGCGGAGACAACCAAGCAATTGGAACGCGGCCGAAAGATAATCGACAGTGAGAAGGGAAGAGCTGCAGATGATTCGATGGATTTAGGGACGTTTTTTGACTTGGGACTGGATCGCTTGGTTGTGTCTGAAGATTTTAGCAGCGATAGTTCTGATGATGAGTCAGAAGACAGGAGGAGGAAGCGAGGCAACCACGACGATCGGACGAAGGATTCGAAAGGGATACATTTGCGAAAACGGAAAAAAGAGACGTATCCAGTGCTGAACAGCGCATTTGTACTGTTTAACCAGCAGATTGGAGCACATCTTGCTGTACAAGCACTGCTACATCATGAACCATTCAGAATGACCAGGAAATATATAGAGGTCGCGCCTGCAGACGTGATTTGGGGAAATATGGGACTTAACCTCGCCACAATGCGGATACGCACGATTATCAGCTACATAATAACTGCGGGACTGATTGTTCTCTGGTCATTTCCTGGTATGTGCACACTCATATTCCGTTTTTCCGTCCTATTCTTGGGACAGGTTCTTAATGACCTTTACTGACGACGTGCGACAGTCGCGATCATTGGCGGGTTATCAAACATTTCAAGTTTGTGTCAGGCATATTCTTGGCTAGCCTGGTTGTGCAATATTCCGCACTTTGCAATTGGAGTTATACAGGGCATGCTTCCGGCCATTATGCTCGCCGCGCTTATGAAGCTACTTCCCGTCATACTACGCTTGCTTGCACGCTTCGAGGGTATGCAGCGCAAGACGAGCGTGGAGCTCAGTCTTATGACACGTTTCTTTATCTTTCAAGTTGTTGTAAGTCCTCACTCTTGCCTTTGGACTGTATCCGCGGCTAAATTTGTTTTTCTCTGTGTGAACGCTTGATCTGCCGCCATAGCACTCATTTCTAATCGTTACGCTTTCTTCTGGTCTAATAGCTGCCCTGCCTGAACTCGTCACGAAACCTACGTCAATTCCATCTCTCCTCGCACGCCAACTTCCGCAAGCATCCAATTTTTTTCTTACCTACATTATCCTGCAGGGCCTTACCGGATCCGGTACCGGTTACCTGCAGATCAAGTATTTCGTTTTGTATTACCTGAAGCGCCTTATGGCAGGAAGCACACCTCGCTCATTATACAACGTCGAATACAGTCTTCAGGAGATTAAATGGGGGACGGAGTTTCCTGCGACGACGCTGATTGCTGTGATCAGTGAGCTCACACTCGTTGTTCTCGCGTTTCCGATGAACTGAATTGATTCTGTTAGGTATCGCATACATGATTATCTCTCCTATCATCAATGGGCTCGCACTAGCAACTTTCTTCCTTCTTCTTCAAATGTACAAGTATCGATTCCTCTACCAAGTCGGACAGCCCGCAGCAATGGATACTGGTGGATTGTTCTTCCCACAAGCGATTCAGCATGTTTGCGTCGGGTTATACATTCAGCAGATCTGCCTATGTACATTGTTCTTCCTCGCTCGTGATGAGAAAGACGAACCAAGCGCGACCCCGCAAGGGATCCTTATGCTTGTCCTTATCTTGATCACAGTACGTAGCCTTTTTCCCTTTCCCTAGTTCCTAAAATTACTTTAATACAAGATACTAAAATATTTACATGTAGATCGTCTGTCATGACGCGATGAACAGATCATACAACAAATTGCTCGGCGCGTTGCCACTCACAAAGGCAGACGATACATACAAAAATTATTCTCGCCACCATCACAAGCACAAACACCACAGACAAAAGCATGGCTCAGATGGGCGTACGGGTAGATACAATCCGACAGGAGCCCACGCAGAGGCAGAGTTCTACCACCCTGCTGCGGGAGAGCCGATCCGACCAATTTGGATTCCAAAAGACCGTTTGGGACTTATGATTGGGCAGGCGGAGGTAGGTGCAAATAGAAGGTATTTTGGGGGAAAGCAGTTCTCTGGTTGTCATCACGCGAACATGGACGAAAAGGGCCATGTCCATGTAACTGGACACCCGCCCGGTGGACCTTGGAGGGATGGTGATTATGGTTATGATTGAGCAATGATGCAGCTATTTTCTTTCTTGTTTATGTTGTTTGATGTTTCGTTGTCACCCTTGTCGGCATGCAATGCCTTTCTCCTCTTCGTTTTCCCTTATGATTCTTTCCATACCCTTTCACTATCCCCTGGTCTTTCTCCTATTCTTGTGAAACCGATGTATCTTCATGGCTCTTTCCATTGTATTTACTTCATCAAATTTCTTCCGTGAAAACCTATTTTACACATTTCTTCGATTAAGTAATTACATCCAATCCAATCAATGTTGAGAACGAAGTATCGGGGTCACAGCATAGGTAGTAGTATTAGGTACCACATATACAATAGCCAAAGGCCATCAAGAAAATAAACAAGTCCTAATGACTCGCATGGGGCGACACTCTACGAATCATTTTTCGCTCAGTTGGTCTACGACAGAGCGGGCAACGAGGGTCCGATTCGAGAGTCTTGATAATGCATCTGTGCAAACCAACAACAAACCGTATCACGATTCAGTTCGAGCGCTAAGGCTAGAAATGAGAAACGTACGAAATGCCATATACATGTCCACACGGCAACGAGGCGATGTCCGTCTCATTCTCGAGACACAGTGGACATTCAAACAGTTCAGATACCGTTACTCTCTGTTTGTCGCGGACGTGCCCTGGGTTTCGCCGAATAGCGCTTGACTTACTGTGTTTCGTCTGGTGGAGTTGAGCCGCTGCCGCTATCAATGATGCCTTAGTTGGGTCGACACGTAGCTCGGGTGCGTACGCTGATCTGAGTGATACGATTGCGGGTGTACTCGTCGATGCAAGCGGATCAGGCCGTCTCTGTGATATAATCTTAGGTGGAGTCGGAAGCGTTGAAGGAGGTAAAGGGAAGAGACCCGCGGAAGAGTAATCGGAATCGTCCAGGGTATCGCACTCATCAAAGCCCAGTGAGTAAGCGGTGAACGCGGCCAAACTGGTTTTAAATGCTTCTATCTCAGGATCTTCCCCTATTTGCTGCATGTGCATGATATGGTGTTCGATATCTCGGAAATGCTGTAGTCATGTACCGTATCGGTAAAAAAAGGCATACCTGGTCAAGCGGTACAGGTATATGCATAGCAATATCACGAACCTTGCGTTTCTGATTCCCTGATGTGAAATAAATCCCACAACGCACGCAACAGTCGCAAGCTCGCTCAATCTCAATGTCTCTCGATGATATCTCGGGCCGTTGGATGTGCAATATCGCAGAATTTGTATGCTTAACAGTTATCTAAACATCAGTGAAGGCTCATCTCGAAATGGACCAATGTACTTGCATAGGAAACACCGTGTGAATATGAGCGTCTGCAGATACCACAGAAGCCATCAGTCTCAGTTGGACTGCTCCAATGTGCCCTCAGCCCATCTCCTGCGGACCTGGATACATGCTGCCGGATATCATCGTCAGATGCTGAATAACTTCAGAGACGATGAGGTGTGTTTCTTGGAACAACTTACAGTCAGTAGTTCTTGCGCCGAATAAAAGAACTTCGCGCAGTGAAAGCATCGATATATGGCGTCCGGATTTGCGCTGAAATGAGACGAATCGAGTCTCCGTAGAGCACCTTGAGATGACTCGGCGATACATGCTGGAGATGTGGGTTCTGAATCTCCAACATCCATAGCAATATGATCGTCCAATTTGCTCTTGAACACCAACTTTTCATCCGGCTTGAGCTACGTGCAGCTTGAGATGACGGACAAATGCAATTTATGAAACAAAAACCCACGATTTCTCGATCCTTACCTCGCAGGTTTGAAAACCTCTTCTCGCAGAGAGCGCAATAACCTTCTTCCGAGTGCTCAGTTCGGAGACAGTGATAAGCGCATTCACAGCTATTGACTTGGCCCATGTCGACTGATGACGTGGTGGACACAAGTATCGGGGAGCAGCGCGCACGCTAGGTAATTGAGGTATCAAGGGGTTTTATAAGCAGCTCATCAACATGATGTTGATTTCAGAATCACAAACGAGCAAAAAGGACTAGATGAGGCTGTTCCGTGATCTAGGAATCAAAGTGACTCATAACGAGCGCGGGGTTTCATACCTAACTTCAGTTTCCAAATTGACACAGCGCTTTCAGGACAAGTGCCACGAAAAGAGCAGTGCAACGTATCATTGAGTATCTGCTGTGCGAGTGGTACTTGGCTAACCTGTGCTACTATACCCACATCTGTATTACTAATGTAGTATCGCGTGATGACTAATATACGACGGCCAAGATCACGTGACTGACTACTTAATTTTACGAATCGGAGCGACGACGTTGCACTCATTCATTTGTGCATAATCTGAAACTAGTTTGCTTGTTTGACCGGGGAATGCGACAGCAAAACGCACAGGTATCAAGACAATGCAAACTTGATCGGACAGCAAACATGATAAATAGCCAACATCGCAATCGCACAATCCCAGCACAAGCACGCCCAATTGGACACAGGTACGTTTCATTACGCACTGTTTCCATGCTCCCATCCGTTGACATATAATCGTATACTTTCAGCCCTACTTGAAGGAACTCAACACAGCATAGATCAGGAACACAAGCAGTGATACTGTCAGTGTCACAACTGACCGGTACTCTGTCTACCTCAATCTTCACTATTTTCTCCTATCCTCTATAGCATAACTCTTTAGTTCTTCTCAGCCAGCATGGATGACGAACCCGTTGCGGAGAAGACAACTTTGGAAGAGGATTCCCGGCATTGGGAGCGCATTCCTGCCGAGAACGACATTCCAACATATTATATTTACACGGAACGTGTTCAAAGAAGCTATATGGATGGCAGACGGTATGCCGTAATTCGTCTAGACAATCACCTTGAAGCAACAGTCGTTAACGACGTCCACGCGAGCACGTCTGCTGCTTGCATGAGTATCGCGGCAGGAAGGTTCAATGACCCAGTGAGTCAATACACTCTCTATTCAAAGATCAGTGGTACATCTGTGGCACACTATACCGTTTTTTTTGTGATATTCTATTTCAACTGCTGCTGGACGTCACATCCAGAATGCTGCGGATCGGTCCGCCAATGTACTCCCGCCAATAATGTTATTTACTAGTTTCGTAGGAAGACATGGCTGGTGCAGCCCACGCTTGCGAGCACTTGTTGTTCATGGTAAGCTAGATGCGTTGAAAAATTGTGATCTTCTTTAACTCACGCGCCATTACCATGGCTGTGTCGGTAGGGATCGAGGAAATACCCGGAAGAAAACGCGTTCGACAAGGTAAAGTCTTGGAAAAGTGGAAGTTCTTGCACATCTCTCATGATAACCAGTATTGCGATTTAAATAGTGGCTACAACGGTGCAGGTACAGGTCCCTCTGACACCGAATTTTACTTTCAAGTCGCTTCGGATGCTCTTGCGGGCGCACTCAATTATTTTTCCGCATTCTTTTACTGTCCGCTCTTTCATGAAGACTCAGTGCTGCATGAGATAAAGGTGATTGATTCCGAGTATTCAGGAGGTCTCCAAGACGATTCCCGAAGACTAGAATATGTTGAAAATTCACTTGCCCATCCAGCACATCCGTTGAGAAGACTCGGCACCGGAAACAAAGACACGCTGCTAGGGCAGTTTCTCGCCTTGAGAGCGCATGATAAGTCTGTCAAGGATAAAACCGGACACTTGAGCAGATCCCCAAGCGAAAAGTCCGGTAGCGAGAATTCCGTGAGGAGTGAAAGCTCCCTTGGTCGAACACCCTCGTTCAGGAGATATGCGGAGAATAAGCACGATTCACATAGTAAGACAGCCAGTGAAACTTCATTGAGGAGCTCTAGCAGCCTTAATAGGTTGTCCGAGAAGCAATCCACGGAGGCTGGCTGTGGTTATGACTGACTTTCAGGCCGGAGTTCCACTCACAGCTCATGCTCATCAGTCCGGACACTTTCGGAAACAGGAAACAGTCACAGAAGCACAGAACCTTCGAGAACACAGAGTAGGTCGAACGTGCAGGTTGGCGACGGAGACGCACTGAAAGTTGCCGCTTTGAAATCCAAGGAGAAGCTGATTAGGTGGTGGGAGAAGGAATATTGTGCGGGAAGGATGAGGCTGGTAGTAGTTGGGAGTGGTTTATCATTTCGCGCTATCACGATCTATATTTTGTTCTGATTGCATCGAGCAGAACCTCTCGCAAAGCTCATCAGTATGGTTGTGAAAAATTTCTCACCGATTAAAAACAGAGGACAAAACCCAGCCCCAGTCGCCTCTCCCACGCAGCCCTACAAGAAGGAAGAGCTCGGTGCACGTCTTTAGAGTTTGACTAACTCAACCCACGTGTTAAAGCGATCTATAATCCGTTAGAAAATTGTTTATGTCAAGACAATCGAGAAAGCGTACAAAATTATCATCGCCTTCCCCATCGCCTGGCAGGCTGCCCTTTGGCGTGAAAAGCCTGCGTGGTTCCTTGTCCATCTGCTTGGCCATGAAGGCCCGGGTTCACTACATGCGTACTTACAAAAGAAAGGATGGCTCTTGAGTCTAGTCGCCGGAGTTGTGAATCGTGGGCGTGGAATTAGTTTGTTGCAGATGTATCTGCAGCTGACAAAAGACGGATTCGGTGCGATCATTTGCTATTATTTTTCCATGCACCTTGCCGATGATGCCCGTTTAGAGAACCATCGAGAAGTTATAGTGGCCTGTTTCAAGTTCATCAACCTGTTACACAAATCCAAGTTTCCGGAGTGGATGTGGAAAGAGCTGGAATTGTGCGAAAAGCTGTCGTTTTGCTTCCACGGAGATGCAGGATCACTTTCTTTAGCCAGGAGGATGGCTGAGTTAATGGCGTATCCCACGCCGCGTGCTCTTCTCATCCGTGAGCCTGTACTGTTTTGGGAGTGGAACGAGGATCTCGTCAAGGAAACATCGAAGAATTTAGATATTGAGAACTGTTATATTATCGTGGCAGCTCAGAATCACGATCAGATCCCGAAAGGAGCAACATGGTGCAAAGAACGATGGTATGGAACAGAGCACATTGAGAAACGCTTTGACACTAAATTAATCTCTGAGGTATGCATTTGCCCAGATATTTGGATGATTTACTCTGCTCATGACCTGGGATTGTCAGGCTCGCAAGGACAACGACATTACCTATTTTGCTTTGCCAGAAAGGAATCCATTCCTTCCTCAACATCCACACATTTACGGTGTACCCGTTGATAAGCCGAAGAAAAGGCCCGCACTGTTGAGGCGCACTCCACTCATGGAAGTGTGGCACAAGAGGAACGATCGATTCTGGACACCGGATGCTATTGTGCATATTGCAGCGCGGACGTGAGTCCATTCCTATCCATGTCATTTGTACATTGTTTACGTTCTCTCCCCCCCCCCCCCCCCCCCCCCCCC